TTACATTTCAGACACACAACAAGGCTCTGTCTCCAGACCCTGTGAAAACATACTGGGTCTGACTCTCATTGGTTTTACAGCAATACAATTCCATTGACTTCAATGGAGTTACTTCTGATTTACATCAGAGCAAGTGAGATGAGAATCTGTCCCAACAGACTTTCTCCAGATTGTCACCTGTGTAACAGAGAGCCAAATCTGACTTCTATCTGCCACTGACCCATACTGTATACTTGGGAAAGTCACTTCACCTCTGTGTTTCTCCATGTATACAAAGGGGAATAATGATATTTCTCTTGCTTTTCAAAGTGCATTGAGATCTAGGGATGAAAAACGCTATACAGGAGTGAAGTATGATTATTTTGCTATTGCTGAATTCAAGTCATAGTATGTTGATAAAAGTACAAAGCTTATTGGCCTGGGTATAACTGGACATCGAGAAAAAACATTGTATCCTCAACAAATATGAACCTTTGTTCTTATTCCGTCAGCTGTCACAAATACAACAGCATGTATCATCAGAAAAGACAAAGAGCAATCCAGGAGGCAAAATTCAATGTCTTTTCAGTCATGTGCTTTCAAAGCAAAATTTCTCCCCAAATATTACCCCTCCCTTTCTAAACACTTTACCTGCCAACTGATTTACATAGTTCTGAGTAACATCTATGTACAGAGATGTCTTCATTCCTTTTTAGTCCTTTTTCCTTTGCTTGAGTCTCTTCCTTTTTTGTTTTTCCTCTTACACACATACTGTTTATGATTGTTTACATTCTGTGCTGATTTTTTTAAGCTCACACCCACACTAACACATTGTTAATTTCATACTGAATTGGAGTGAGGTCATGAATGGGATGTCCTCCTAAAATGTATGAATTAATGTGATGGGCTGCTAAGTGCTGAGCCACTGATCACACTGAATCAATTCATACAACTCCTGAGTGGCCACTGGATGCTCATTTCCTGTGGCTCCAGGATTCTGTTCAGGTTCAGAGACAAGGTTATATCCTCAGCCATCAGGCAGTTCTTTCTGTCTCATTTATACCATTTCCCAGATCTGAGTACCTTTAGGAATACATCTAAGATCTAAGACAATGATTAATAATCCACCTCATCAGGATTTCAGACTAATATAAATTGAAAAAATCAGCCAACAGAGACATCAGACTGGTCTTCTGTAATGACTAGAATGATAGAATCCTCTGCTGTGAATGTGATGCCTACAAAACTCATGTCAATGACTAGGCAGTTGGTAAACAGTGGTCACAGAAGATTACACTTACAATTACCTCACTGTTGCCTTGTCTTTCCCTTGTCTGCTTGCTGTATTCACCTGCTGTCTCTCATCTTATACTGAAAATGTACGCCCTTTGAGGCACAGACCATGTTTTTATGTGGGTGCAGTGCCTAGCACAGTCGGAACTAGGCTCTAGGTATTACCATAATACAAATAATGAATAAGAATCAAATGTTCAAGTGAAAGTCATTATGAGCTGAGGAACCAGAGGACCTTGGGTCACATGTCAGTTGATGTGCAATAAATGAACTTCATAAAGAGAGGTCTCTTAAATTTTACTGCCTTCTTTTTCTCTTCCTCTTTTTTTCCTTTCACCTACATTTGTCAAATGGCTGAAATCATATTAAAACGGGGAATCAAATCCTCCTGCATCTCCCTGAATCCTTGACCCTGCTGAATGTGATATGGTAAAGCACAATTCCTGAGATAACCACAACCGCATTAGAATGTTTGTGTTGAAGAATGGAGAGAGATGCAAGTGTAAGCTAATTTATAAAACTGTAGAACAAAGTACAGGTGCCCAGTTGTTAGAAGTACTTAGGGGTAAATTGCTCTATGCAGCACTTCAGAGATTGCTTTCTAATCTAGCTCATGTGAATTACAGATTTCACTTCTGGTCCATGTAATAAATAGGCTTCAGAAAACAATTCCACAAGGTATGAAGCAAGAGGAAGGCTTGGCACAGTTATTCCATATAGAAGATACTTTAAAAAATACAATCTTCTCTGAATACCTTAATACTGAAATGTATTCTTATCCTATAGTCTATTTCCATTGCAACAAGCACAAAGATTAAATGGGACTCACTCTTCCCTGAAAGATGGACTAAGTGCCTGGAGACACAGGACCAGTAGCTCAGCTGACAGCTCCACTGAAAGACTGGATTACAACAGCTAAGGATCTGGCCACAAAATGTAATTATTTTTGGTGTATGTTGTATTTTTAGGACCTGATCCTGCATTCCTGGGGCATCCAAATCTCTTAGTGCCTTCAAATATGAAAACTTCATAATAAACCAGGCATGATCACTTTAGCTCCTGAAATCGTTGTGACTAACGTTAGTTGGATACAAATGCTCTTTTGCATGTCTGTGTAACAGTCTCTAGCACATTATCCATACATAAACTTCACTGATCTACCACAGACCAAGCGACAATCTGTTAGGCTCACACATGCATTTTACTAGGATTAAGCAGCCTTCAATCCTTCTTCTTTCTCAAGTTGCCCTTTCAACCAACATATGAAATCCATTGAAAACAGTACTGTCTATTACTGCCATGTCTAAGAATCCTAAAGCAGCTCTTTCTTTTGAAGTTACTAGTGCTCCATATCATTACAGAGTCTAACTGCAAAGCTTGATAGCAATTTATTTCAGGTGCAATCCTATTTAACTTTAATGGTAACTGACTGCTTTTAATGGTAGAACGAAATAATCCCTCAGATCTGGGGAAACAGAAAAAACATGTACAAGGGAAAGAGCATTTATTTTAGCCTGTTACTGCTCCATAGCTTTTTTGGTGGGCAACACTCTAAATGTAGTCTAAGCTTAAACCAGCCCAAATGGAGAGCTAGACTTTGCACCCCAAATCTCCCCCCCAAGGAAGTGGGGATCAACAATGTCCCCCCTCAACTTACTAAGACACCTTATGGGGGCTTTCTGTGGGACACAAGAGAAGGGGGGACTGAGTGGGCTGTTGATAAAAGTGAGTGGCCTCACATTGGGTGAAGGTGGGGCCTAAGGAACACACACTAACTGATCTGGCCCATGAGAGGTTAAGTCTATATTACCTGTTTTGCAGAGCCACTTTTGTAATGGGGAAATCCATTGGAGACCAGAAGGAATCCCTGGAAGCACAGCTCCGTAGGGAATGGACATGGGCTGCCAGTGGCACAAAGCTGGCAGATGGCCTTCTGGTTGGCACTGATCTCCTATGGATTCCTGAGAATCCCTCAGGTTTGTGGGTAGACCCCACATTTCATTCCATATGGGGGTAAATCCCACCCCCTGACAATCTGATCTGGGAGGAACACTTCAAGGGGATCTTTGCAGAGAGATCCTCTTTCTTAGCCCCCTCTCCTGAGGGGGGGGGGGGAGTGGGAGGAGGGCGTGATGCAGCCCAGATTATATGTAATTTGGGACTGTGACAGATCTACCAAAATGCATTGCACATCAGCTCCAATCTGAACTGAAACAAGACTCTATGCTTTTACTCTAAGCATTATAACAGATTTGATGGGGTGGTCAGTACTTTTGCACACTGCACTTTCTTTAGGTCCCTTTTCACAGCATATTTTATGCAATCCTAGTAATTATTAGTGTCAGAGACACAATTATTTTTAAATTCCTCTGAGGGAAGTTATTTAACTTTAAATTGAAGGAATAAACTGTGCATTATGTGGACTCCAGAGTTTAAAACAACAGATTTAAGATATCAGAGCTACAGTGATGAAATGAGTCTCTTTCGTTCCCATGACAAGTTATCAACACCACGAATACTGGACCAGATCTTCAGCTGGTGTAAGCTGGCATTACTAGGATCTGACCCACTGTGTCTTACCACAGTTACCATGACGGCAACACAGTATTTCTAATGCTCTGTTAATCTCACAATAGGTATAAATTACCTATTGTTCCCAGTGCCCACTTATATACAAATCAACGTACATAATGATAAGGTAAGGTATCAATGAACACACTCTGGACTTCTTTAGTGAGGAGTCTCTTTGTATCATTCAGATGATGTACATGATGGCTCTGATGTACACGGTCTATAATAATGACTGCAGTGGTTTTGTAATATGATTACTACATAATACTAATACAGTATCAAATAATTGTAATATAAGAGATGAAAAGTGATTATAACTCATCCCTTTCAAAATTCTGAAAATTATGACAGAGTCTATATCCAGGGAGGAACTGTGGTAACTAAGTAGCTCATATATTCTTCATCTCAAACAATGCTTTAAATAAGGAAATGCTCTGTCACACATTGGTTGATCAAACAGAATCCTAATAAATGACCTGCAGTGCTTGTTTTATTTCAATCACAGCTTAAGTTAAAAATAAATGTCTAATTCAGAAAGCAAACAACACTCATTTAAAGGATGATAATCTTTAAAAACAAGGAGCTACAGAACAGAGAAACTCACTAGCCAGCTAACAAATTTTATTTTTTCATTTAAGGATAGCTCAGAGTTTGGAACTAATAAATCAGCAAAAGATTTCTATCATACAAACAGTCTGTTGCAAGGACCTATGGGAAGGTAATTTGCATACACCTTGCTATACATTCTGTCTGCATCCTGGCTGAGGCAAAAGTTTCCTATGATGAACAGACTTTGTGCACAATTTCTGAGCTGGCACTTTGGAATTCAGAGTGTGAAATAAGATACTTTAAACAACATTATGGTTCTAATGCTTGTAATATATCTTATAATACTTACAAAACACAAAGGCAAGTTAAATAACAGTGTTGCTTTATAGGCAGCATATGTGCACTTCACAGTTCCAGCTAAAGATGAGAGTAAAATTTCAGCTCTGTTGATAACAAAGACAGCAAATCTACCAGAAAGGTAGTACACACTTGCAAACAGTCTATCAAATGCTCTTTTCCTCCATCTACATAGTTAAAGTCAATAAATCACATAACATCTGTAATAATAATCCTGTCAGCTTTGTCTGTTTGCTAAAAGTATACTGTACCATTACGGTGAGGGTTCTAGGTCTGTTCATTTCATCATCACTATCCAGTGGCAGAATTTCATGTGACAATTCCTCTTGTCGTCGTCTACAAATATGTGGACAGTTCCTCTGTACCACAGAACGAAAGGCTTGAAGCAGAACAATGCTGGCAGCACAACCCATATCTGCATCCTGAAGCCTACAAAATAACTTCTATGTTTATGCTATGTTTGAAAAACAGTGGCTCCTTGTCCCTGAAAACAGTCTACAATGCAGCTGCAGCCAGTTAGCTCTCCAATCGCCTCCTTGAATTCTGATCATCTGATCACAACCAAATAGCTTGGATGCAGATATAGGAAAGATTTGATCTGATCCACTGAAACTAAACACACGCATGTAGTATTAAGATATTTTTCTCTCTGTGTGCTTCTGAATTCATGTCTGAACGTTGCTTCCTGTCTTTTACAATAATCCTCCTGTGAATCCAGTTTAATGGAACTGAAAGCATTAAAATTCCCAGTTCAAATAAACCAGCTGTTTATTAAAAATTGACAGGAGCAGTTTAAATGACTGGTAATAATCACGTGCAGGAAAATAAGTAATGGCATCAAATCAGTAAACAGCGCTGACAGACAGACAGATTTCTAAAATTCTCAATGTAGGGTGTTTTTTCCTGAGAAAAGAAACTGGTTATGGCTCACTGAAGGATCTGAGCTGCAATTTTTATGTCTTATCATTTTCTGAAATACAGTGAGCTTACTTTAGTTGGAAAATGTAATGAGCAATAATAAATGCAAAAATATGGACTGCTTCTCCCAGTTCATGTTAAAATATCAGTGTCTCAATGAGAAATGCCAGTGTTCAGCTCTGAAATGCCTCTCAATAATATAGTTGTTGTGTGTTCCCACACATGCAGTTGTTCTGCAGACTAATACATTTTTACATTTACATAGGCGGCTTGTGTGAAGAAGGATCTTTGCTAATGAGGTCTTACGCTGAAGTAAAGCACAGCTGACCTTCTAAGAAAGGTAACTGTAAAATGTTTTAATGTTTTATCAGTAAGAATTCAGGCAAAGAAAAGAAGCTATTAGCAGTTAACAACTTAGCCTTCTGACTCCTGCCAGACAAGTCATTCAGAAAGCAGTAAAAGCTATGCTTAGAAATCATATGATCATCTTGGAAACATATCAACGTCTAATGATATATAGTGTAAGGTAATAGTACTTCAGAGGAAGTTTTAGCACTAAAAATATCTAGCAGAAAATGGATTTCTCTTAAAATGTGAACTAAGAATTTCCAAATAGGGTTTCCAATGCAACAGCTTTCCCTTAAACAAATATGTATCCAAAAATACAATTACTGGTATATTACATAAAGTGGCTGTTCATATTGAAGGCGATGATAGTTTTGCCAGTGATTTGCATGGGGACATGAGCAGGCCTGTAATTTTCTGTTAATATGATGTTTGGAAATACTGTTCCTTTAAGCATAAAATGGGAATAGGACCCACACTGTTCCATGGGACCATTTTAGGCTGGGTTTGATTAGGCTTTAATTGCCCAGTAATCTGTCAAAAGACAACATCATTTTAATTAAATCATTTGCCAGAGAAGTGAAATGTGTTCTTTAAAAGCATTGCACTTGCTGCCAGTATTTCTTGTCTCTATCTCTTTTCAGTGCTTATGGAAAAAAGCTAATAGCACTGGCAGGCACTGCACAAACTCACTCACAGCTTTGTCAATGCACCTCAGTCCTAACATAAAACAATCCTGGCTCTTCTATCTCCGGCTCTCTCACTGGGCACAGACGTTCAGTCTCATATAGACAAAACCATCACACATAAATGTCCACACTAAAGAGGAGGCCCCATGTCATGCATAAGCTTATTAGTTTAACTTTTCTAATAGGATCACAGCAGCCCAGTGGCACAGCTGTGTAATTTCCATACTAAATCAGTAATCTCGCCTGCTTTGGGGGTCATTGCTTATATTTTCATCAATCCCCAATCTGCTCCAGTACTGGCGTTGACACCTTGGCCATACACAAAATACACTTGGCAACCTGTGGGACACATATTCCTAACTCTAATACCAGCAGCATCAATCTGGGTCTGGTTTATTTCCTGCACAGCTTTTGTAGCTGGCTGTTATGGTGACCGCTGTACTGCCTTGGGTGTTGCTAATGGCTCTCTTGTGCTCCTGGATGGCAATTTCTTTTGCTCATACACTATTCAGTTGTGAAGGCTGAAGGGGATTTTTATGAAGTTTGGTTTCCATGATAACACAGAGTCCAATTCTGCCATCCATACTCATGCTGAATAATATCTGAGAGCTTCATACAGAGCCCAGTGAAATCAAAGACCTCCATTTATTCAACAAACTTTGAATCAGGCCCATACTCTGCAAGTGGTCCCATGACTTCAGTAGGATTACTTGTAAAGGAAGGTATTATTCCATATAAAGTATGAGTGTAGAAAATTGACCTTTTGTCCTCCACTCTTAAAAAGGGAAAAATAATTAATAAAAACGTAGTTCTAAAACTGTACTCAATAAGCCAAACCCCTTGAAACTGGATTCCAAAGTGTGTTCAAATCCTGGAAAATAAAGCAAAGCCAAAGTAAAAGGACTTTGTTTTAAGGAAATTTTGTTAAAGCATAACAGGCCCAAGGGAAGGAACCCTCAAATCCAGCAATACAAGGGCTATACACACAGATGCATCAGAGCCATCAAAATAAGACGTCCCTTTAGGTATCTTTTAAATTTATATTACACCTATATTATATCTATTAACAGTGTTGTCTTATCCTGTTGAAGCCAATGGCAAAACTCCCATCACGTTCAGTGGTGCAGTGTCAGGCACTATCCCATGATAGCTAGTACCTTGCTACATAAGCTGAAGTCAATGGAGCCATTTGATGATTAAGTTTATGCTCAGTGGGAGGGTACCAGAGCTCATTTAAGAGGCAGTTGTTCAGAACTGCTGTGTCTGCAGAGTCCGAGGTAGGCAAGCAGAACTGAAAGAGAGACACCTGCCTTCCTGCACTGAATCAGGGACCTGATTCTGAAAAAGAGAGCATGCTCAAACCCTGCTCACGTCATGATCAGGCCACCAAAATCAGCCAGAGGGAAGGGCTTTCGGTACCTCATGCTACTGGAAAGTGGCTTTAAGAGGTTCTAAATGACTAATTAAATAGTCTATTATTTTGTTTTAAACAGTATTAATAAGATAAAGGCTATCTGGATTCAGATTGTGCAATTTGAGACTTTGGATTTTTTTTTTTAAACTATCAATGGGTGACCTCTTTTGTCTTCGCCTGACCAAACTAAGATTTTTCATACTCTTTACTGTGACACTGCTAGGTCTGCTTATAAAACTTATTCAAAATGTCTTTATCATCCACCTTCGTATTGTCCACACTGTCATTTCTGAGCACTACACTTATGGAATAGGTTTCATATGGGAACTTCCCATGTCCTCTCTGTGTGCACACTCCTCACCATTGGCCTTGGTGAAAATATTGTTCACTTCTCAAATTCTTTCAAGTCCTAGGCGAGCACCCTAACCTCTGGACTATCCTTTATTTCTGCTATTCCTGGGCATATATCTTTGCAGGCTCTAACCACAAGAACTTTAAGATGCTACCACAAGTTTTTTAATTAATATTTTGTATTAATATTGTATTACTTGTTAACGGTCATGATTATTTTACCATCTCTCTATTTTATTAATCATTATCTGTCTGTTTGTGTCCCCTCATCTAGCAGGATACAATGTAACTGACAATGATTTGCCCACTCTAGATATAAGATTTATGTCTTCCCCACTTGTACTGAATCAAACAATATGCAGTTCTATCAACTTCAGGGACATATATATCTTTTCCTTCATTCATTCATTATGTGGCTGCAACATATATACATTAACACATGGTTCTCAATAATTTGGCAACTGTGCAAATTTACACACGCTATGATGTACCTCTCACAGACCACACCTTCCATTCAGTTGCACAGGCTCTAACCAAACTCCTGTTGACTTCGGCAGGAGTTTTGTCCCAATAAAGACTGCAGTATTCGGCCCATCTAGAGTAACTAAATTCAATGCCTAAATTCAGTCAATAAATTCTCAGTAAAAAGAGTGTGCACATTCAGGAAGGAAATGACAATGAAGTGAGGTTTACAGCAGAGTGAGGCATGAAGTGGTAAACTAATACCAAAAGATCATTGATAAGAATACATGTAGCTTCTAACTAAGATCCACAGGATGTGGATTTATAAACTTAGCTACCTGCTCTGTGTAGACTAGATGGTGGAGCATTTGTGCTGGCTGCTTAGAATTGAAGCTCATTAATCTCCTTCAACAGAGAATAAGGAGAGACCATCTGTAAGATGCTGTCAGAACGCCAATGGGTAGCCTGTCTGAGTTCTTAAGTTCACAACACAGTCTCATAGACTAGAAAACAAACTAGAAAGTATTGTCATATAGGGTCCTTCCCAGAAAGCACCATCACAAAACACTTTACACCTAAGGGCAGAATGAAGAGAAACAAAGTTTTAAACTTTACATATGCTTGTTGCATTCAGCTACTCTCATGCCACAAGACAGACAGGGAAGTGAGGTGGGACTAAAAAAAAAAAAAAAAGTTAAAAATACTTTAGACAAACCCTATTTTTGCACTGTCTGCAATTTTCAAACAGTCATTCAGGAGAATAATAATGTTGGCCCAGGTTATTGTCCATAATACCTGCTAGTACTTCTGAGGTAAAAATAAATAATATTCAGCACTTACATGGAACATCTCATCTCTAAAGCACTTCACAAACATTAACTAATTAATCACCACAATGCACCTTAGGTAACTAAATATCAGCCAGATAACTATAATTATCAGTCATCAAGCAAATAATACAATTATTTAAAATTCTTAACATATTTTTGATACAACAATGCATCCAGGTTTATGACAATCTAGTGGCTCTTTCACCCCAAGCATCTGGTGTGGAAGGGCTGCAAATGCTATTCCATATCTAGCTGCAATAGAATCCAGAGGGCATTATCTAGGTACTGATATGACTCCCATTGCCAACGTATTTGAGCACCTTACAATCCTTAAGGCATTTATCCTCACTACACCCTGTGAGTTAAGGCAGTGCTATTATCACCACGGTACAAATGAGGAACTA